AAAGTAGCATGTGAGCCATCATTAGAGACCAGCATTAACCAGGTCAAGTAAGCGTGTGAAATGAGCGACCACTATGTCTCATGTATTAGTCCATTTAACTGGGGGAGCTGTGCTTCCTGTGGCAGTGACCTTCTCCCTGTGGCTGCTGGGAATTACAGTCATTCAGTGTGTGTCTCGGCATGATGGATGACACCTGCACCCGTTAAGCAATCTTTCCCTGGTACACTATTGTTTTTCTTTCTCACTTTTGTGTGGGAGCAAACTGTGTGCATTCCCGAGCCAAAAACAACTGAGCTAATCATCTCATCTGCGTGATGTATGATCTCTCTCCTTAGAAGACAAGTTATCTTACGACCTGGAATGTCTTTCCAATACGGTGGTGACGCTACCAGTGAGGCTACTGCAGCTGGATTAGGGATGATGCAGCATTTTTTAACACCCAGACCCATTGTTTCTGCTCTTTAAAAGCTGTAAATGACGTCAGCTCTGTGCAGTATTGAAACCAGGCGTTGAATCAAAACTACAAGTTGTCAAGGTATACGATCTAAAGTATCCATGCAGCTCTTTTGTTTCCACTGCACAACTGCACACTGTGTATTGGCACAGTCTTGTAGTGTGTATATATCGTCTTAAATAGCTGTGCTCCAGACACTCCTTTGTCATTAGCAAACCAAACTGAGCGTTAACTTGCATCTGCAAGGCCGCTGGACGACAAGGCCTGTCACTACCATTGTGGTTCAGATACAAAAGAACCTTCAAATAATGGAATCTCCCAAAATGTCTCACACTGATGCAAAGCCACCATCAACCAGATGACAGGTCATTGTAAAATAGAGTGTTGTACTGATGACATATATTCGTAGGCTGACCCAGAAGTTAGCTTCACGATGGCTCCCTTTTACAAAAAGCAATTGGATTTTGAAAAAAGATCTGTGGCAAACAACTATTTGTGATACTGACACGTTTTGTTCAGCAGGATCATTTCTATTTACACCACTTTTGTAATATTTAAAGCGTAAATGCAATCTCCAGAATTAAGAAGCACATTTTAAACAAACTACATTACATAACTTATTATTATTATTAACTTATTATTTGTTTATTGATTGTTATGAACCTGTCTGAGGACCACAGATGGAAATTAGCTATTAGCTATAATCTGGCATATTGCATCTCTTCTCTTTGCTGAGATTAATGTTTTTGTATGCATGGTCCTTCTATAAATAAATACAAAAAAAAAACAAAAAAAAACTTGACGTCACCACCACTGAGCCAAAGGCAGACTGGAATATGACATGGTGACATTTAGTTGTCCTATTTAGTCACTTTTTTACCAACCACCGTTTTTAAGACGCGTAGAAGCTTCAGACAGTCATGAGTGGGTAATTAACTTCTATCGGGGACAAAAAGTGAACGAAAATGTTAAGCTTAACCATATGAATGGTTTAGGCCCAAAATACATTTCTGACCTCCTGCTAAATTATGAACCATCCAGATCTCTCAGGTCTTCAGGGACTGGTCAGCTTTCTGTCCCCTTAGTCAGAACTAAACATGGTAAAGCAGCGTTCAGTTATTATGCTCCAAATATCTGGAACAAACTCCCAGAAACCTGCAGGTCCGCTGCAACTCTGACTACTTTTAAATCCAGGCTGAAGACTTTTCTTTTTGTCGCTGCTTTTAATTGAAACTGAGCCGTTGTGTTCATCAGTAAAGTGGAACTTCTATGTGAACTATTCATATCTTAATGCACTGTAACTTTTTATTCATGTGTTTTTATTCATGTATTTTGTCTTTTAATGTTCCTTTTATTATCTTTTCTTTTTAACGACTGTTTTTAAATGCCTTTGTCTGAATGTCTTTCATTTTTGTAAAGCACCTTTAATTGCCGTGTGTTGAAAGGTGCTTTATAAATAGCCTTGCCTTGCCTTGCCTTAGCCACAGATCTTATTTTAGATATCCAAAAACTAATTCAAAGGGAACCTAAAAGGGCTATAATGCTAACTATTTTCCGGGTTAAGGACTCATTCCTGCACCACTCTATTACGCCCCTCCCCACAGATAAGAGTTGGGTGCCATCAGGAGAAGCTTAAGCCAGAGAAGGGGGCGCTGAGCCGTCTTACTCAGTAGCATCTTCTCCTTGGTTTGCCCTCACCATGCTCACTGAGTGTGCATCAGAGGCAGTACGGGGGTGTGAAGTGCTCCCGAGAGTGTGTGGGTTCACTGCTGCTGCACTCTATGATTAAACAGTAGTATGTGCTGACAGCTGGATTTGAGGAGCATGATGCACGCGGCACAGTGGAGCGAGAAGCTGCCTCTCGTGGTGTCGAGGAATTTCCTTTTTGGTGTCTTTAGACCTAAATGCAGATCACAAGAGCTGAATCAAACAAATGACAAGAATACTTTTTGTGGTCAATGATTAAATCATCAAAAATGTGCTACAGAAGGAGGGGGAAACAAATCCCTAAGAGATCAGTGATTAATTGCTTCACTAATAATAGCCTCAATAGATCACAAAGTATTGAAGAAACAGGTTGCGTTTTTGTGGATCTGTCAACAGTTATAACTGTAACGCCCTCTTTTGCTGCTCTATGTCTATGACACAAGCATTTGTTCTTTTCCTGACTGTAAATAAAACGTGTACTCGTCACCTTTACAGAGGACCTTTGTGGCTGGAGGTTGTCAATGGGCTTCTGGGACATGAAGGAAATCACTAAGTGAAGACAATGTACAGATATACTACAAGAATAGTACTTATTAGATGCTAGAATACATCTGCTACTAGTTCTTGACCAGGAAGTGTACTAAATACCAGAATTCATTTTTTACAACATTTCTGTGAGTCAGTATCTTGTCCTGCAGCGAAGGCCAAGATTGTTAGACGCAAGCCAATTGAAATGGGGTGAAACAATATCTGTAGTGTACATGCCATACAAAGGTCAATTCCAAAAATGGACGCACACTTTCTCTTTTAGTTGTTTCTACAAACACATACAGCTTGTCAGCTCATCTGTCATCAGCTGTTCTTACGTCTTGTCTGTAGGGCCATTAGACAAATGCTAAAGTAAACACAGCCTAGTTTTGCATTCATGCTTGCCATCACTTAATCCTCCTGCAACTGCCATCTTGGAGATGTCACATGCATTGCTAACTGACATTAACCTCTCATCTAAAGACACTGATTCATAGTGCACTTAGACAGCCTGAGAAGTGAACAACACGCTGAACTAATCACTGTATCAGACTGGCGCAGTATGGCAGGCCTGTTAATTAGTAAAGAGTGTTAACTACTGTTACCTTTCCAAGTTAATGAAGCATTTGCTAACCTGTATCCTTTAGAGTTCCTGTAATCCGAGGTTTACGACGAAGCCCGAGATCTAGTGTGAATCATTTTAAGTGAAGTATCCAGATGTGCACATGTCCAGATGTGGTCACTTGCAGCCAGGTACAAGTTACTATTAGCTGTGAACCTCTATGATTACTAATGAAAATAATTGTCTTTCTAGCTTATTGATAATGGAAATGCAGACACCGTTTTTCTACCATTATACTGTAGGATGAGTCTTTACCTCACTTCTGCTAATCGAAACATACTTTACTCATTAACACAAACTACTTGTAGCTTCATTTCAATAAAGTAATAATGGAAAGCTTGTATTCACATGTTAACACTGAAGAACTGAGATTAAAGATGGAGGACCAAGTCATGAATTTATCAAAATGTAACTTTTGAAGTGAGTTCAAACTGGAAAAGCTTCTTGGCTAAATCAGCCTTTACAATCAGTTACAAAAACACTGTTCAGGTCTGTAAACACACTGCTACCTTTTGGAGCCCTTTTGTACTTTTACCCTAGTAAATATCCAATACATTATCTTACAGGGAGTCTATGGGAACTAAGTATAGGACATGTGACACAATGACCTGGTTTTTCGTCTATAAAGTTGACAGAAGTATTTTGTATACTTAGAGAATTTTGGACCGCGTTTTTCTTTTGTCTTCTCTTTGCTTTTGCTTCTCACTTAGCAGCCAAGTGTTCTGTTTGTTTGAGATTGCAGCAGCTCCCCCTGACTTTACCCTACCACTTTACTCCTCCACCTCCATCACCTGTTGGAGCATGTTCGGTCACTTCCCACATCTTAGTGTTTGCACAGGCTGATCGAGCAGGTTTGGTTTCCTTGTGTAATCCGATTACCTGCTGAAAGATTTGATGCGCCTCATGTTCACTGCAGGCCTGCTAATAGCCAGGAGATTGATGTGTCCAAAGCCGTCCTGTATTTACCTTTTCAGTGCAGTATCATTAACAACCACAGTCGAGTCTACTGATCCGTGAACGAGTGGATGTAGTTTGACTCTTGCCTGCCGGTAGCTTGGTTCAGTAGTTCTTCCCATACGTACATTAAGATGCAACTGTAGACAAAGTACTTTTTTTCTCTGGTATTTTACTTGATAATTACTTCCCTGGAAAAACCCCAGAAGACACACACTCTTTTTATAGACAATATGTTTAATTGAGCAAATTAGAAAGGGTCCGTATTGTACAGCAGCTGTGTACACACACAGTGGAATCTGCACGGCACCAGGAAAGGGATGCAGTGAGAATAGTGAGCTAAAAAAAAAAACTTGATGGAGTCAGAAAGCCTGCGTGCCAAAGCAGTGGCTTTTCAACACAGATGCTCATAGTTAGCATGTGTGTGAAACCTCAGAGTCGCTCGCTGATCAACCCGCTGCATTGATACTCCAGCTGCTGGCACTGCGCTGATGTTACTGGGTTTGCATGGGTGATATGGTTGGTGGCTTCAGACCGAGCACTGAATTGTTTCACTCAATTGTAGAACTAGATACAATGTCTCATTTAGTATCTCTCGTATTTCAGAAATACTGTATCATGTGGTCATGATGGACAAAAAACATCCCATAAAATAGTCCTCAAATCTGAGAAATACAAGCATTCAACTTTAATGTCCATAGTTATTAATGACATATCCTGACTTCTTCCTTGCAGGTCTGGTGGAGATCTGCTTGATGCATCCACTCGATGTAGTGAAGACAAGGTAAGCCACCCTCAAACTGAACAACTCACATTTCGTGTAATTTTACCGAACGTATAATCTGCTTACAAGAGAGACATTTTCAGTCCACATCTGCCTTTAATTCTCTCAGTGGGTATTTGGGTCTACATAGTGAAGTTCCAAGCATACCACCTTATTTTTTTCCCCCAAGCTGGCCAGCTGTACTCTCATTCTCCCAACAATTGGGCACCAATGCCAAGAAACATTTTGTGGAAAATGAGATGCATCATTTACCCATTCGTTCCCCACAAAATGTTAACGTTAGATGTTTGAAAATCACTCACATTTACACATATACACTTAATTTAAAAATAGCAATATTTTTTGGTACGACCTGATTATGTTTATGTTTATTAAGGATCCCCATTAGCTTTTGCTCTTGACAAAAGCTACTCTTCCTGGGGTCTGACACTTAAAACAATACAACAATAATACAAAAACATTCAAGACATAAGTCCTGACATCATTAACAACATCACCAATATCATCAACAATCTCCAACATCATCAACAATCTCATCCACTTTCAATATCAATCTCAGCCAAGGATGAGTGCACTAGACACCCACCAGTACAAAGCATGAGATCAAATTCAATTAGGGTTCACAGCTCACAAGGGTACATGGTCATTAGTAGATGGCCCTTCAATCTCTTCTTGAAAGAGGCTCTGGACTCTATTTCAGCAAGGTAGTTTGGCAATGAGTTCCATTCCTTTATAGCTCTATAAAACACAGAAGATTTCAGAAGATTTATCCTGGGTTTAGGTGCCAGTAGATGGCCTGATGTAGCTTGTCTAGTCTTATGGTCATGCTCATCTCTTGTGTAAACTATAGGGTTGTAACGGTTCACAGAAGTCACGGTTCGGTTCGTACCTCGGTTTGGAGGTCACGGTTCGGTACGGTACAACAAGAAAAAGCAAAAAAAAGTCCCAAATGCATAATTCCAGGTTTGTTGTTATTTATGTTTGAACAGTAGTGCAAGTTTCAGCTTAAAAATAAAAAACTCTGACATTTTGAATAATTAACTGTATTACACAGTTAAAAACAAACCATACACAGTACACTCAGATGGCCATATTAACTATAATGGCTGATGTCAAACAAAAAGGTTTCATCAAGCTGTAAAACTAAAAAGAATGTCTTGAAAATATTACATCATAAATAATAAGAAAGTGTTTCAAGAGCGCAAAGTCGTTGAAAAACATATGCCAAAAGCTTCCGTTATTTATTTTGGTCTCTCGGCTTTCACGTCTCTTGGCTTCTTAAAAACAGCGGGGATCAGCTGTTGAACTGCTGTTGTCTTTGCCGGGCTCCGGTGATTGGCAAATCTGGGTGATGCCTTCTGATATGATTTAGCATGTTTGGCGTGTGTTATCATTAGCATACCGCACCACTGTAGAACAACGCCGACACACCGTCCTCGTCCGATCCACCACTCGCACACTTAATCGTTATTGTAGTCCACAGGGAACCCGAAATGTTCCCACACAGCTGATTTAAAAGAAGCAGGTGGGTTCTAGCTCCTGTGTGTTATCTGAAATCGCCATACTAACTTTTCTTCTTCTTGTATTTTGTTCGTTTTGTTGTTGTTTCTTCTTGTTCTTCATTTGTTGTTTAAAAAAAGGCGTATTCGTCGTGTGACTGCGTGTGCCGAACCGTGACGTCTGAACCGTGACGGTACGGGACGAATACGGATACCGTTACACCCCTAGTAAACTATTTGATCATAAAAATACAGTGGTCTTGTGCTACATTTTTTAGAAAAGTGATAACACAAGATTGCAGACGTTTCTCAACCGGAAGCCACGATAGGCTTCTATGCATAACTCCAATATGAGTGTGCTTCGAACAGTGGAGAGCTAGTCTGGCAGCCTTGTTTTGAGCTATTTGTAATTTCTGTATATGTGTTTTTGCTGCTGATGACCATATGACCGGACAGTACTCAAGATGTGACAAAACCAGAGACTGAATGACTTGTTTCAAAGCGGTTGGTGTTACATACTTTGTACATTTTCTCATCACAGCTATGCTCCTTCCCATTTTAGTTACGATACTGTCTATTTGCTTTGTCCACCGTAAACCAGAATCAAGAACAATGCCAAGCAACTTAGTCTCCTTTACCTGTTCCACTGGCTGACCAGCCAGTGTCAGGCTTAATTGAGGATTGCTGCTTAACATATGTCTGGCTCCGAACACCATTGCTTTTGTTTTTGCAATGTTGAGTACCAGTTTGTTATTGTTGACCCAGTCTGCTATGGCTTTAATCTCTATTAAATGATGTTCTTGTGAAAGTACATGACTTTCAGGTTAAATCAGATGCACTCGCTGAGTCTAATGGATTGATTTCAGCTTCCGTCTCCTGTTTGTGCGTTATACAAGAGTGGCAGCAGTGTGGAGCTGTTGAGTGATCAGGAGCCTCACACCACAGTGTCTCAGCCGGCCATAAACAGGTCGTGGGCTTCTACTAAAGCTTTATAGTCTTTCACAGGCCCAGCCAAGACCTCTGGCTTCGTTCTTAGCCCCCCTCCCCAGCCCTATTCACTACTTGTCAGTAAATTGTGCTGCTTTTTCTGTCATTTACGGCAGCAGTTTCTTGGTAAATAAATTGCTTGGCCTGCCTTTTAAAAAAGTGAGACGCTTGCACTTTGAAGGCAGTGCCACCCCCAGAACAGAGAGAAGGAAATGCAGGGATAAAAGCCCGGGCTGAGCGGTGTTGTATTAGTCGATATCTGATACTTTGAAGGGACACAGTGTGATTTATGGTCACGTGTAGCAGCTATGGGGGTTTATTACAGGTAAGGCTGGAGCTCTGCCTGTCCGTCCTCACACGGGGTCAGGGTTAAAAGTGCACTCTCTATTTTCTTTGTAATGCTCTTCCTTAAAAAGCGGTAAAGGCTGCTCTTAAACTGGACAGGTTTATCTGTTTGTTTTCTGTTTGTGTCGCCATGTGTTTATGTTGATGGGTTTTCTGTTGCTCAGAATGGGTCTGCGTAAATTAAATCCTTTTGCTCTTGGCTCTGGGTTTTGTTACTTTCTTCTTTTAACAAAATGAACAAACGGAATAGTCTTTCTTCTTTTTAATTGGGAGCTTTAGATGATGTCAAGAGTGTCTAAACAAAAGGAGGTTGCTGAATCCCAGACATACACAGAGACAAACCACACGATGCTTACACTGTACATGCATGTTCACACGCTTAACATCCACACATGAATTCATAAACCAAGCATACATACCAGCTAATTGGGACACTGAGGGAGCTGAAATCTATTAGCAGGAACCTTGGAGCCGAGAGTCAGACGCAGACACACCTCCACTGGCTCTCTCTCGCTCAGGCATGGCTCTTATTAGGCACCGGCTCCTGCTTTAATGTCCACCGGTCCAAATTGAATGGCAACTGGAGTAAATTTACTTTTTTCCACCAACTCAGAATCAAAGGGATTTTCCCCCCCTTTCTTTTCTCCCTTCTTTTTCCTTTTTTTTCCAAGGTAAACTTCACTAAATGTGTACCTGCCTGCAGCTCATGTTTACCTATTTTCCAAATGAGGCTTTATCTTTCTCTGAAGGGGAGGGAGGAGGAGGTGTAGGGGGTAGAAAGTTGCAGTTTAGAGATATTCCAACAGTAGCCAAGTTATGAATAAAAAAAAAATGTCAGGAGCATTTGGCAGCTTTTCCCTTTAAACAAATAGTGATTCACCCTCCAAGTGACTGCATTGGCAGATATATTAATAGCTGGGTTCCACAGAATTTAACTTCCAACGTGATTAATAGAACAACACCTGGGCTAAAGACTGATGGGCAAATTGCTTTTGGGTAACGATCACAAGTATTTGACTAGACCACACTGGGCCTTGGGTTGGATATGAGACGTAAAAGTCTTGTCAAATTAATCATTTTTGGCCTTTGTTGTTGCACTTTTACTCCCCGTTGTGTGCTCACTGACCAGTGGAGCCGTGACCCTTGTTATTCACCTTTGCTAACAAGTACATCTATCTTACATCTGAGGGACTCCTGCAGAGCCCACCTTCCTTCAGCGTGACCGTCTACTTCTTTCATCCTGTTAAAAGAGTGGAACAAGTACACATTTAAATTGACCATTTTTAAATAAGTGTAATGGTGTAATTTCTCGCTTAAGACTTTTTTTCACTGGATAAATCACTATTAATAGGATCAGTTGTAATGTGAATAGATTATTCACTTTTTTATCAGAGTACCGTAGCACTAGGAGGACTACAACTAATGATTATTTTCTTTTATGAATTAATTGTTTGCGAGTTACATTTTCAGGAACTGGTCAAATATGCCCATCTTAAGGGCTTTTTTTGTCTAAATAAAAAATCCAAAACCCAAAGATATTCCATTTTACAATGGTATAAAACAAAAAGGAGAATTTTATATATTATGTATTTTCTTCAGTTTTTGAGCAAACAAACAGACCAAAGTGAGATCCAGGACAAGCACGTAGGGTAGGATGAAGGCAAAACAGCGAAGTAGTTTGGGGAATAAACATGGTATGTGGGAGAGTTGTGCGCCATCATTAGTTTTTATGTACTATTTAAAGTTTAGGACAACAGATTTAACAGCAGATGTAACTTTAAAGCAACTGTTCCGTGTCACGTTCTCTGTCGTTAATCCAGGAAATGAAAGTTAATCCACAAATTGAATTTTTTTTCTCAGGAGTCACTGCTGATAATAATCAGGCCGAAATGTAAATGTAGCATACTTCACACAAAGTAAACCGTTAATTGCCCCTGACCCTGACCCTCCCCTCCCTCCCCCATGGGTCGGGGCAGGAATGTGGGGCTGAGGATGGAGGGTGCGATGCAGTGTGGGGAGGGAGGGAGGGATGGCGGTCGTTGGTTTAGCAGAGAGAGACAGTGGGACCGGAGTTACAGCTTTTCATTAACCTGGAAACCACCTAGTTACATGGTTCATGGGCTGGTCTCAGCTCACTTGGAGGTAACAAAGGGTGTCGGGCGGCACTTT